GATCGGTATGTTCATTGGGTATCAACATACATGCACCTGACCCAATTGATGCGAGCTGATTGGGTCATCAGCTCATGAATAATTAATGAGTTTGAGAACTTCCAATCATGAAGTTGTTGTAAGTTGTTAACTATGAGCAAACTTCGCATACTTTTCGTTCCTTTTTTCTCGGTTTCGTTCTTTCGAGAACACGTTTTGATATTAATTTAACTGTCAGTCAAATAGCTAATGATCGATGTGAAAACTTAATTCTTCTGTTTTTTTTCTGAACGGTTGGGAAATGGTATTGTAAAAACTTGACAAAATGTTGGGAGATTTTAAAACCTGTGAAGAACTAGTGTCCAGTCCACAACAAGATTTGGTCTGGAAACTGGTGCCAATAATAGTGCCTGCGCTAACAACCATGCATTGTCTGTCTCTCTGATCTGATCAGGGACTTAATGTAATTGGTACTTCTGTTTCAATTTGAACTGATATTTGGATTGATCGAATTCATTCAGGGGATGCAACAACCGACTTGATGAAGCTCGAAGAGAGCGAAACAATGCAAACAGGTACTAGGTGCTAATTCTAACAAGTGTTATTATGTATAAATTGACATTTATTTCTTTATTTGCTGCTTTTTATTATTTTTCAATCCTAAGTAATTTCTGTTAGCAATGCCAGGGTACATATACACAGCTTTAAAAAAGACCTCTTGACTGGAAAATTGCTTACATCCTGACATTTAGACCTATTTTCTGCACAGACTGTTTGACTCTCAGAACAACAATCGTGGTGGTTACAATGTTGGAAAGCTGTATTATTATGAAAGTTCAGTCTTGTCTATTGAGTGGTAAGTTAATTGAGATGGATAGATTGTTGATCATCTTCAAATGTTGATTCTTTTATAATCAATTGTCTCAGATAGAGTTACAGTGGCATAATTGGTTAGTGCACACAACTGTAGATAAGATCAAGGCTCCATCGGGAGGGGGGTTGGGGAGGGGGGATTGAGTATCCTACATACTGTTAATTTTTAATTCCAGTTGCAAAATTTACTGATTTTCCTACTTGATATCCAGTGTTACCAGATTTAAATATGGCACGAATGCTTTATCTTGTAAATATTCTGTATCCAGAAAAATCCTAATAGGACCTCAAGGTCTGAGGGTGAACCCTGACCAGGAACATTTTGTTGTTCCCAGGGCAAAATGCGCTATCCTCACTGTTCTCTCTTACTCCCTTAGTGGGAAGGCTATTCCCCTTTAAGTTGTAAGGGCAAGCTGACAAAACTACTTGGGTGGAGGGGAAGAGCCTTTGTTCATGATGGACAAACACCTTACCTAAGGGAGGGTGGAAGTGGGTATCAATAGTCCTTGTTGCTTTATGATACAAATTACTAGGTGTACCCTCTGACCTGGTAAGACAAGTATAGGGTGCTTTATGACGCCTCTCTTTTGTCCCTGATCTAAATGTTGTAATTTGTATTAACCTCTGTTTTATTGATTTTCATAACAGGACAAATCAACATTCTTGTGCAGACCCAAACAACCACTGTGACATGATTTTACAGTACATGTGCGGTGATAATGTACGAAATGGAATCACAACACAGTAAGGCCCTGACTGCTTTTCGAACAGACTTCTCTCTCTTTTTTTTCTTTAGAACTCAGTGACATTTTTTACATTTCTTTTCTAGAACCATTCCAGATAATCCAGCCTTGTGTAAGAATTATGACTGCAACAACGATGTTAGGTAATGTAACTTTTAAATTCACTCAGTATATATTGAACCACAAGTTAAAAGAAATGCATAAAATTTTAGGTCTGCAATGCGTGCATAGAACTACAGCTAAGTAGCTCTAGTTTATTCTCGAATCAAACCCTTCTGCACGCATTGCATGCTTATAATGTTAAATTTCCTTTTTTTGTAGTTGACATGTGAAAGTCACATCTCTTCTGATCACAATAGTTGCATGTCCTTTTGATCATATTATAATTGAATTTTTTATTTTGACAGATTTGGAATGCATGAGGACTATGATTACTACATGGATTGTAAATACAGGAACAGAAACAAAGGGCTGTTTACTGCTGATCAGGTAATGAAAGATTAATGGCTCACAGCACCTCTTTCCACCCAGGAGTACATCTACAATCAGGAACAAAAGTGTTGAGACATTTTTGTAAATCTGACATTTTCAACCGAGATCTGTACTTCCCTTGATAAAAGAAACACCTTTTTTGTCAAGTATAGCCACCTCCACTCACCCAATGGATGTGGAAATGGCCTTTGGTACCACTGTCACTTGGTTACAACATTGGAAAGGGAGTAGAAGCAGAATATGAGGAGTGGGACTAATTGCACTTGAAGAGAGAAAGTTTGTTTTTGGGCGGTGTTTCAAGTAAATAAATAAAAAATAAATTACTTAATTGGCCACTCCCCATTGGGCTTTTCAGGACCAATGTAAACAAACAATGATAAATAAATATTCAAATAAACATAACTAGGTTAAGAATCCCAACTGTAAAAAGTACTTTTGTCCTTGATTGTAGTTACCAGTGATGGTCACAAGCTGTCAGGACAGCCTTTTAAAAAGTGTGGGAGAGGGTTTGCCACACGTTGTATCAGCATCCCATGCAGGGGAAGCCTGGCATCAGAAGTATAGGCTTTATGTTTATTGGGCTTTACTTCAACCTTTTCTAACCTAGGTACTTTCCTCATTTGTTTAGAAACTAAAAAAGGAGTCAGCCATTTCCACAAGACAAAATCCAGGAGGAACAAGGCGTGGCTACGAATGTCCAGAGGAGAGAGATTATTACCCATACTGGCACCCCAGCCCATGGAAGGACATTGCCGTGTTAACCAATAATATTTCCAAGTGTGATATGTACCAATCAGAAAGCCAGAATGTGAAAGAACGCTGGGGCTGTGAATTGTCCAAAGAGTACCTGACGAAAATGAAATGGAGGAATTATAAAATACCAAACAATGAAGAGGAATGCAAGGTAATTCAATACATCTTAGAATAAAACACTACAATAAACTGAGGGTAGTAAAATGTATTTTCGTGAGTTGTGGCATTGTTGACATTAAAAAAAAAAAAACCAGAAAAAAGACGTGTTCTTCTCTAAACAACCTGGAGCTATCATTCACCATTTTCTTGAAACTAAACCAAAGCCGCTACGTATACGCTAAGTTTAGATCCTCTGGCCGTCAATCTGTGAAATACTGACGGTAAAAGACACTAACTGCATAAAGTGAAAAATAACCGTTTTATATTTGTCTGATTCTCAAAGGCAAAGAATGCTACCTGGAAGAAGTTTCCATCACATGACCTTCCCCCTCCAGAATGCCGGGAATCCGACTGGTCACGTGACAATCACCTTGGCAACGGAAAGGGAGGCTATGCCAATACTTACAACTGGACTTTACCCGATTTGAGCCACGAAAATTGTGTCTTACGGATGAGGTAATGTCCGATCATAGGGGGTATGCCCCCCCCCCTCTTTGACCCGCCCTTGGGATTTATACATTGAAGTACCTCGCTTTGGTCATAAGAACTTCTCGGTTGGCTGTTAGGGTAACCTCTGTGGAATACACTATTATTTATTTTGGTAGTCTTAAAGTGTGTAGCTTTAGATTAATTCCTTTGATAACTTTTACGTTGAGAACATTTGCCGTGCTAACTCGTGCATTTAACGGATTTTTCTTTTAGATACAACATTTCCACCGGTGATTATGACGGCTGGGATTCCTCAGTTAATAGCTCCATGAACGGCTTAAAACAATCCAAGCTGGACATTGGAGAAAAATACGGCATGAACAGCACTGTGGCTACTCAGAGAGGTTATGTCTACAAACAAAACCCTGAAGTCAAACTGTTTCCATCTTTTGATCTTAAACTCAGGCTGGCAATTAATACTAACCAGTATGGGCGTGTCTTTCAAGATAGGTAAGTTCAACTAGAGATTAAAGGCGTAAAGTAAAGCTTGTTAAAAACTAGTGGCTCGTAAAACCTCTTGGTGGACTATCTACGAGTAAACAGTGATGAAAGTCTTACAAATTAAATCAGGTTCAAAAATTGCGAATATACTAAATGGAACGCACTGAATGCATGCTAATTTTAAAAAAAAGAAACAAAAAACGAAGACTTCTTGTTGCCAATGGTGTAAACACTCAAGAAAGTTTGGGAGAATTCAGAACATTACAACTTAACATGTAAAGCTGAGTTTCAAATTCTCCCATGCTGACTGAGGCCCCGTCCACACTACGCCGAAATTTGAAAACGGAGGTTTCACTCTGAAAACACATCAAATGTTTTCCGTCTACACTACGCCGGAGAAATTTAACTAGTGAGACAATCTCAGATAGTGCAGAGCGCAATTGATAGCTCTGGTACAGTAGTCCCATAAGTACTCACCCCTGCTCGGTTCACTTCCGCTTTGTGTCTACCTTGGTAGTCTGCTAGGGCTTTCCCCCTTTGCAGTGTGTATGTTTCAAGGTTGTATTTTCATTCAAGGTCCAAAAATTACGCACAA